ATTGCATTTACAAGTATGAGGATAACAGTGGTAGGAATGTCCTCATCGGGAGTACAACGCGATAACTGACTTTGCATTTTATTTTTGTTTGTCTTAGTTTCTCCCGTTGAACGAGAAACAACAATTTAAGACGACCCCCCCATCGAGGGAATGTTGTTCCCTCTAGTTTATTTTTCCTTTGACAAGCAAGGCACATGTTTGTGTGTGCACTACGAAAACAGGCTAGATCGACTGAAGTTTGACTAATGGTGTAATATTTTGTGCATATGAAGAAAAAGAAAAAGCCCAGGCAGTAGTGATACTTTGCAGACAATGGATAGGCCTAAAACAAGGCCCAGACCATTTGTGTGACAAATCGTCAAGCCAACAACAACCATCACGGCGGTGATGAAAAAGGTTGGAAAGACAGGGAACATGCCACAAACAGTGGATGACATCATCTTCAATTGCAATAATTATTTCTCATCTAAATACGGCCTAGACAACCCCAAAAAAAAGTATATTCCGAAGAACGTAATGAAGTAAACCTAACTGCAAGTTCATAAATAAAAAACTACAAAGTTCAGGAAAAAAAAACTGCAAGTGTATAAATTTGGTACCCATAAAGATGAAAGTACATCAAAATCTTTTCGGAAGGAAAAGAAAAGAAGAGGAAAATTCAATGTCCTCAATGAAAAGAGGCACGTCAATTCAAGCGCACAACTTGGAAACGTCGCGGGAGGAGAAAAGAAGCGTCCTGCGAGTTTCTTTGGCATTCCTCGTTTGGCTTGGCGCTTTGCGTATGTTGAACGGAAGAGCACAGGTGGCAAGAGGACGACTGCTATTTTGAACTTTTGACTGTGGAGCATGATATGACATGTCTGAGAGTCAAATTCCAGCTGCGCGGTGCCCTCATTCCAAGTCTATTCGTGTACCTTTCAAAAAAAAAAAGTCTATTCGTGTAGATTGGAATGGCCGAATTGCTCCCAGACCTTATCCATCCTTGAAGTAGGAAACACGAGCTTGGCTACTTCCAGTACCCAAAAGCCAAATGTCGATAGCGAGACATCCACAAACATGTTCCTTTGGGGGCATATGAATGCTCCTTCTTCTAATTTTCTAAGGCAAATATCTATCTCCGAGTGTGTGTTTGACCATTGAATCGTTTTACAACGCGCATGTGAATCCGCAGCTAGATCACAGGAGCCGCTCCCGTTGGCAAAGACTTCTTCTCACTCCTTATGCTAAAAAAAATGCTCAAAAGACTTCTTCTCACTCCACCTACACCCTTTGGTTAGATAGATGTACAACTCGCTTGTTTGACAACTATCCTGGAATTATTTGTCCCCCATCCTCACATCACCATCTCAACGTGATAGACTGCCTGTAAAAACCCAAACAGAATGATCATTTGCCGACACAAAA